TACGTAGATTAATATTTTTTTTATTATAAATAATGTAAAATCTAATTACAAAAAAATGAACTTTTTTTTTCATTTTTCGCACGAAGACAGAAATTGAAATTCTCTTCCCCCATTTAATTCCTTAGCAATAATGTACTTTGATTGATGTAAATTCCTGCAGCAAATGTCTGTTTTAAAAGAGGAACAGGGCCTATGTCTCCTAGAAATTATTTTTGTTTGAGAGATCTTTGAATGTTGATCTTGGAGCTTTTTCCATCCTTTCCGCTTTGAATTTATTGTCATCTTTTATTTTATCGATATATATCTCGCCTTTATCATGATTTTCCTAATTCGGTTAATAGCACAGTCTGATAATTCAGAATAAATGTTGTTTGCATCGACTTCTTCTGTTAAAATTTTTCGATTTCCATTTCAAGCATTTTTTACATTGATAATATGTACTTTATATTGAAAGTATCTTTGTTCCCTGAATATTCTTACTTAACTTGAATTTGTAAATGGTTAATATTGATCATATTTATGAATTTCAAAAGTGTTACCTGTAAAGAAAGAGCAATCCATGTCCATAACAAAAGTTTTATCCACATTAGGCGAATGGTATCATCAAGATCAGTCAAGATTTTAAACAGCTGAAACTAGAAAATTGTGCAACCTACTAAAATGTGTGGTTTAAAAGCTTCAGTTACGTAATAAAGCCTTGCGTAATGTACTTACGTTGCCTGTATATAAAATCGCTGGGTTCACTTTTAGACATATACAGCAATTAATAAGTTTTCTTTCCTCTGTGTATGCGTTGTGATATGTAAAAACATTTAAAGCCAATGAGCTTAATAAAAGCTCTCTTAACCAGAAGAGGAAATATTGAGGAAGACAATGAGCTTTTTTAAAAAGCTTACATAATAGAACTTGGGAAAATATCTACACATATCAGATCTATAAGATGGGAAAAAAAGAGAAAGGTTACCATTGATATCATGTTTTCCTCAACACTCAATAGATGGCTTATTCAAATTGCAGTATGATGTATCTTACCAGTATATATGACATCAATGTCTGGCATTTTTTTTTCTGTGAATGACTGATACAATATTATAAACAACAAGGTTGTCATTTTCGTTAGTCTTTTTTCTTTTCAATTTTTAGCTGATAAGAGTCAATTTTAAGTGCGCTTGTGAATAGAAAAGAGATATGGAGCTTGTTTTCGTAGTGCAATAAATTTGAAAAAGGATAATATGTGAATTGGAAATTTGCCGAATTGCCAAAGTGGATTTTCTGTAAATATATTATAACACAGAAAATGGATAAACAATGGCTCTTTGGTGCAGTTTTTATGCAAATCTATCGTATAATATTCCAATTACAGGAAACTGAGGACACACATGAGAGGGAAGTTTTCAAAATGTTTCCTTATATTAGTTATATTCTCTCTTTTTCTTGTTGCTTTTTTTTAATACGGAAAATAAATTTTATACATATTATATTTATATAATCATATATATATATATATATATATATATATATATATATATATATATATATATATATATATATATATATATATATATATATATATATATATATATATATATATATATATATATATATATATATTCGTTTGCTTAAAGAAGAAAGTATCCACCTTTTGTGCAAAGTGGAGAGGATTTGGTGATGTTCGACATAAGAATTACAGAAAGAATGCTATGCAGTTGGAACAAAGACTGGGTACCTTTGCATTCATGATTGAGCTTCAGATGTTTGGGGTTTTTTTTAAATAAGAATGGTACTTATGCAATTTCAGTTACTTTCTTGCCCATACTATAAGTATTTTATCTTTAGTTTGCATTATAATGAAACTGATTTATTTAATTCAAGACACATTGGGACTCCTAAAAACTTTTATATTTGTTATTTCTTATAAAAAGTCCCAAGCTATATATCTATTATACAAAATATTCAAACGTTAGAGACGATTTATTTACTAATATTTGATGTAACCGCACTTCGTTTATGCAAAATTTAGAAAGTACTCATTTTGTTTTATCGAAATTCCCCTGGTAAACATCGAAATTTTCATTTTGCATACCTGAAGAGAATGTAATGTAAAATATATATATATATATATATATATATATATATATATATATATATATATATATATATATATATATATATATATATATATATATATATATATATAATATATATATATATATATATATATATATATATATAAAACATTTATTTTTGCAGAGAGTGCCATATACATGTAAGTCTGATGGGTAGGGTGTATGAATATGCAATAATATGTATGGAATGTTTCTCATTGCACTCTCGTTAAATATTCATTTAAAAGTACAGTAAAAAAAAAGTTTTGCATGATACAACTACCAAGTCATATCCCTTCGATTTCTACTTTCGAATATCAAAGTGTATTAGAAATTTAAAAAAACTGTTCAAGGCACCAATTATTGCAATTTCCGTGAATTAGTCCATTTTATTCCAAATCACCACTTGAACAATGAATCATAATACACATTGACAAACTGTAGTTTTAAGAATTAATGCATGCTTAAAAAAATTTCACATTCATGAAGAGGAAGTAGGCTTCCTATAAATGAATAATTGTTGATCTAATATCTACATACATGACTGAGCAATTAATAAGTTGTTATCAGGGCAATGAAATTCTGTAATGGTAAGTCAATAATTTCTTTCTTTAAGAAGAAACACTTGTTGTGGGCTTCAACTCGACATTTAGGTATATTGACGACGTATTGTCAATTAACAATGGTTATTTCCATTCTTATGTCGACACGATATATCCCGGTCAGCTTGAGAGAAATGATACCACAGAGTCTGACACATCTGTTTCATATTTGGATATTTTATTAGAAAAAGACTTCAATGGTAATCTAACAACAAAGCTTTATGATAAACGTGATGAATTTAACTTTTCAACCGTCACCTTCCCTTACTTATGCAGCAATATACCCTTATCACCTGCATACGGGGTTTATATCTCTCAGTTGATTCGATATGCTAGAGCATGATCTTCGTATGAACAATTTCTGAAACGAGGTAAGTTATTGACAAAGAAGTTGATGAAACATAAATATCAGCAGTCTCGTTTAAAGTCATCATATCGTAAGTTCTATGGCCGATACATTGACCTTGTTGGCAAATATAATCTTTCACTAAGTCAAATGCTGAATGGGTATTTCATGCTAATTTTTAGGTCATTATTTACATACTGAATTGTCGACGGATTTTTCCGTTATTTCCCGAACATGAGCACACGGCGGGTGTGACAGGTCGGCAGGGGATGCTCACTCCTCCATGGCACCTGATCCCACCTCTGATGTCTTAGAGGTCCGTATTTGCTCTGCTCCTATTTTATAATGTTTAATGGACTTTTGAGCCTGAATAAAGTTCGTTATCTCCAAATATTTCATTTCATATACTTCTTTTGTCAACACCAAGTGCTGATCTCTTTTTGTCTGAGTATCCTTGGAGCCTTTTTATTAATATTATTATTTATTTACCTTTTATAGGACTTTCCGCAGTTATACTTCTTCTGAAAACATATGCAGAAGCAGTTTCCACCTACATGTTTAATAGGTATCATATACATAGATGTTCTATTTTTCACTTCTATTTAATGGTTCAGTATATACGCATCTGTTTTATTGATTCTAAAATTACTTTGTAATTCAAATGATGATTTATATTTTGATTTTGCAGTACCATGTGTCTTGAGCATGCACTTGAAATTCATGCCTTTCTACAAAATAAGAAATGCCCAACAATGCTTCTTGAAGAAAAAAGTAAGAACGTTTTCCTCGCATAGATATCTTCAATAATCTGATTGGGAAAATAGAATATCACCGATAACAACAAAAAACTCCAAATTTCCTTCAAGTTTCTTTCAACATTGTTTCTATATTCAGGCAACAGTTTCAGTGATAGTTAAATTTGTTCTCGTTAAGCCAGTGAAAATTTAACATTATCAAAAACAATGACACAGCTTCTGCTTCCTCAGGTTTCTTATTGCTTAATGTGTTTTCGGTTTATTTTTTTCAGATCAACCTTGCTTGTATACATGCAGGGGGAGGTATGTTTTTGTTGAAAGTGGATATGCAAATTGTGTTGGTTATAACATAAACTTTAAGCCTAACAAGAAATTATCTACAACCCTGAAAGATTTTCAGTGCAATATCAGTAAATGCACTGTAGATCTTATTAAATTTACATGTGGGATGAATGACAGCCCCTTTGCTATTCGAGATGATTTGAATTTTACCGTAACGAATAAAACTACGATGGGAGATGGTGTACCATTTTCTACAAATGAAACATGCATGGGTTAGTTGTTCTGATACTTAAATCAATATTGTCATCTATTATTGCAACATAAATTACTCAAGAAAAAGTTTACAGCAATTTATTAATAAATGAAATAAAAAGAAATTGCGAGACAATAAAGATTGAGATCATACTTTTGAAGCCTAGATTTCTCACAGTCTTCATTCTATACACTCAACGATAACTCTCTCTCTCTCTCTCTCTCTCTCTCAATATAAGGAAAGCTACAACTAAGATTAACAAAGCCACCTAAGATATATGGAATAAAAATATTTTCTTATTAAACTTGCAATATTCAGACATAAATGGAGCAATTTTGCTGCCGGGTGGATGTGGACTAGGAGGATTATTTTTAGGGCTGATTTTTTCCAAAATAGTCCTCTGGACCAGGCGTCGTAATAAAGGGTAAATCTTTAAACTATCATTATTATATAAAGAAATACTTGACGTCATTTCTACGATTAAGCAAGTTTTCGATTTAGATCTTCGACTATAGTCTTACTGTGATTAGGATACATGTTTGTATATTATTTTGGGTATATTTTACATATAATTAGATAAGTATTAAAGTGTGAGCATGAAAAAAAATCATTAATTACTAGAAATGAAAGATACAGATTCATGAAATCATAATACGTATGTCGTTTATCTGTAGGAATATCTTTGAGCCACAACATCCTTCTGTAGCCTTTCATCGTAGTCACCAAGACGAAATTAATATAAGAGCTGAGGATTCGCAATACAGTGACATAGAGGATCATTTCAGGGTAACCACCAGTTGACACATTTTACCTTAACTAAATCCCTTCATACAGTGTCATCAAAAATTGTTATATATCACTTTTAAATGTAATTCATTTTTTTTTTCAAGTTTATTTATCATCTTCTATTCAAGATAATATTAACTTAAGGTAGATCTTTCATGTTTATATTTCTAATTATTCTATCTGAAAATTCTTCAAAAATTGTAATGAGGTTACTTTTCTAATAATTTTTAATGAATTAGCATGAATGCATCCACTGCGAAAAAAATATAATGATTTTTTTTCAAAAATGATCTTTGAATGACAATGTTTGTGGCTAATAATCAGATAAATAGTTTTAAAAGAAGATAAAATAAATGGCTTTTGAATAGATATATGTTCAAATATTTTATATTTATACAGGATATATAATACAACGCTTACATGCGTACTTATATATTTATTATGAAGCTCGGTCAATATGCTGGAGTAGTTCATGGCTTCAAGAATTACAAATTAATTAGTTTATTCCTGAAATGAACCTTTGCTAGAAACCAGTGAATTTTCTTACGTCACATATCAGTTGTAAAAAATTAAATGACACAAACGTATGCAACTAAAAATGTGTTTCCTGTTACAGATGATAACAAAGGCGATTCAAGTACCATCTTATAAAGAGGACACATCAACTAGTTCTCATGGAACAATTTACCATCATTTGAATGAAACAGAAAACTCGTTCAATTTTGATATAGATCGACGCCAGCTATTTTCTAATGATTTTCCGCCTGATGGTTATGAAGTGAGTAAAACAATAAGTGTCCTCCGAAATGGAAGTCCTTCTTTGAAATCCGTCGTAATACAAACAGGAAGTTCCTCTACCAAATCAAACAGTGATACTAAAAGTTCCCCAAGGGGAAGCCAAGAAAGTGATAAGTATTACGCACTGGAAAAAGAATATTTAATGTTAAAGTCTGACATAAATACCAATTAAATAATAAAAGTTACAAATATTGAAGTTATTTGTTCCAAGCTTGTATTTTTTTTTTAAATTGATATTTGTATTTGATATGCGTTTTATACAAAGAGTTATGTAATTTCTATCCCCTCTCCAAGGCTCGGGGATAAAAAAAAGTACAACCGGTTGGATAAAATCATATTCAAATACAAGCCCTAGGAGTTTTTATTTTATCATTTTTTTTACACACAGCTTTCACATGTTTTGCAATGTTTATATATGCGAATTCACTTAATTGAACGTCATCACTTCACGCAATAAAATATTCTGAAGTCACAACTGTTTATTTGAAAACGATATCATATCACTGATATCTGCTGTCTTAAGGATTTAATATGTTAATTTTTTTTTATACCAAGAACATTTGATTCCTCATTACAAATTTTTAATATCGTATGAACAGCTTTTTCAAGAATCTTTATCAAACTAGGTTGAGTTTCAAGTGTACAATTCCTTGATTTTCTGAGGTTTTTATGATTTGATTTTATTTAGTAATTTAGATGATAAATATGTTTATTTTATAAAATCATTTTTTAATAAACAATATTTGTGATTGAACTTTTAGCGACATTTATTCTTAGCATTTCCGACGCCATCGCAAATTCCAAAATTACTTGATCGCTAAAATTCCTGTTATACAGTAATTTCATTTTTTTTTTCATGATCTGATTAACATTGCTATGAATTAAACAAAACAATTAAAAGGAAATTTCCTAAGATCTTCTCTCACCAACATTTCCTTTTGAAATTATGAAACCAAGGTAATATACTCACCGCAAAACCATTTATTCTAAAGAGGAAAACTTTTGAAAGTTTGAGAAAGATCATTGGTTTGTGGGATTTTATTTTATGGTTGAGGAAGGAATATGAACAATTGCTTGGAAATATATTCTGAATATTCTGTTGGTCAAGACTTCAGTGGCTGGGCCTATTTGTACCATGACCACAAGAATAATTAACTACCAAGGAAAAGTTATGAGTTTAAAGCGATGTACTTTATGTATATCGTGCTTTGTTTCCAATTATCCACCCCTAAATGTATGCACATTATCTAATAATTATCGAGAGATTCTATTGAATTAATTCTACCCCGTTTTGTGTACAGGATCAGTGTGTGAACAGAATCGGTATGTTTAGCATCGAGTTGCCTCATTAAATTACCTTTTCGCAAGGGCATACACTTAAAAGATCTTGACAATATTTTGAATACACATAAAAGAAATATTCCTTAACTTGGGCTTCTGCTTTCCTGAAACCGGGAGTATTATTTGATAAACATATAAAATACTTGGTAAAGATCACACGCATTTCAACTTGAGCCCAGTTACCTGAAATTTAATCTAATAAAATGCTAATTCTATTTAAAGCAGCAGCACTTTACAAACACTACAAGATAAAGAGAAACAATTTATCGTTCTATTTTTTAATCGATCTAGGACATGCCCTTACAATATTAAAATTTGTTTCTGATTTTTATGCAGTATACATTATATGCATTTATCACGTGTCAAATAAGGCACAAAACAATTTTTTTTTCTTTTTACAAGATTGTTTCTAAGACTTCAAAGAACCTTGAATTATATTAAGCTGCATAAAATGAAAATTGTTGTACGAAAAGATCTCGACTTCAAGCTTCATTTTGAGACTTTCTAAATAAAATAATAAATTTTTGAGTTATCCTTCCTGGCTGAGGATCGGATATCCTTAATAACGAAATATTTAATTTATTTGCTATTAGGGTAGTGTGGATTATCCCACGAGTGTAGATGAAAAATTAAAATTCAAATTTTTAGTATGTCGTAAGAGTGTCCTTAAATATGAAAGTTTTTGCATGTCAGTGACAAACTGGGATAACCTCTTTACAAATTCATGTGACCATCTTGCATTAAATAAGTGTTTGGCATGGTGGCAGTTTGTTTATAAAAACATTGTCAGTCCATATACAGCTTACATCTCTTATTTAATGACTATAACGTTTAGAGTAACAAATCAGATGTTATTTATGCAAATTTTGCAAGTTCTATGGTCGACCATGATAAGGTGTACACGGCAGGTGTAAGAGGTCGACAGGGGATGCTTACTCCTTCATGGCACATGATCTAACCTTTGATGCTTTAAGAGGTGCGTCTTTGCTCTGCTCCTGATTTGTATTGTTTTAATGGATCATTATGTCTTCTAATACTAGGCAAGCCGAGAGCATTTTTTCGCTAGATTTGTATTAAAATAAAAAAGGTTCAAAGAGATGAATTATGCCAATTATTAGAATGACAGTGTAAAATTTAACAATGTAACAGAAAAGAAGGGGATCAGACTCAAAAGTTCTGAATAAGTTGTACGTAAAATATTATTATATCTGATCCCCCGCCAGCCTACCCCGCCTCCTGACCCCCCAAAAAGACTAGAAAATTTATCATAAAAACATCGCGGCTAGGATGAGGCTGTCCGTAAAATATCAAACTGTTCCAACTGTAGTAACTTCTCTGAACTACCTAGATATGACGTCATACTAGCATATGACGTCAAGTCACTACATATTTGAGCTGACGTGACAGAGAAAGAGTCATAACTTTTACATTCCTTTCACATGACATGTAAAGATTTTTTAGCGTTGTTTTCTGATTCAAGTGTCTGGATTGTTCTTTAAGCTTAAGTGTGCTGTTATGACGTTGAACATTTGCAATTTAATATCGTTATTACTTTAACTTGTCCGATATACATATATTCAAGCAATAACAAAATTGACTGTGAAATGCTCCCTCCTTACACGTCCGTGGACATAGTTAGAATTCATAAATCATGTATACATTTGACTGGCACAAGTGATAAATAAGGATAAATTGAAGATATTCTGTGTGAATCTGCCAGAGAAGTATGTTCTCTAACTGAACTTTGCTGGGGGATTGTATGTAAATATATTCTATTATGTATAAATTGCGATAAAGAGTGGAAAATGCAACCTTCTATGTTGGTAAGTTGAATTTCTCGTGGAATATTTCTCAAGAAGTAAAATTAAATTAAGATTTGTCCCCAGCACTTTATATGTACCAAAGATCCCAATAAATTGACTCAACTAGTATATTTGGATAGTACTGGTAAATATTTTCATACGTCAAAGGGCTGAAGAATTTATGTGCAATGCTATAGAATATGGGGAAAATTGGAGAAATTCTATGTAGCGTAAGAAAATTTAGGTGAAATTGTGAACATGTAGACAGGTGGACAGGTTGACAGAATGACAAGTCGAGAGTTGACAGAATGTTTGGTTGACAGATCGACAGGTTGATAAGTAGACGAGTCGATAGGTTGACAGGTCGACGGGTTGACAGTTCGACACGTTGACAGATTGTTTGCTTGACAGGTCTACATGCATCCAGTAAGTCAGGTCGATGGGTTGACTTGTCGACAGGTTGACAGGTCTACATGTATTCAAAAAGAAAGGTCGACGGGTTGACAGTTCGACAGGAAGACGAGTCGACGGGTTGACAGGTCGACAGGCTGACGAGTTGACAGGTCGACGGGTAGACGGGTTAAAAGGTCGACGGATTATTATCTCTATTGGGTTTATGCATTAACCCTAATCTCTCGGCTGGGTTTGAAGACTAACCCTAATCTTTCCGATGGGTTCGAGGACTAAACCTAATCTCTCAGGTGGGTTCGAAGACTTACCCTAATCTTTTCGATGGGTTCGAGGACTAACCCTTAGTTCTCGGGAGGGTTCGAGAATTAACCCTAATCTCTAAGATGTGTTCGAGGATTAACCCTAATATCGGGTGGGATCGATCAATGGTTTTACATGACTAAACCCAATGTCTTGTGTGTGTTCGCGTAAAACAAAGTTTATTAATTCGAGAGGATGTTTTTTTGTGGACTATTTGAGGTAATATGGTAAAACACTCACTTTTTTATTTTATAAAGGGAATTATTTGCTTCCTTATTTCAAATTTGAAAGACGTTAATCGGTTTTCCGCATACATTTAGGAATTTATAAAGCTCCGTCACGTGATAAACAAAGTCTCGTGACATCACAAAAATGCATTATAATAATAACCGATTCACTCTCTTCACTGAAAAATCATTCATAGATTACAAATTGAAATTAGAATCTAGCTCTATATATATATACACACACAGAGAGACGGATAAATTATATTTAGAGTCGTGTTTCCTACCGTATCGGAGAGCGGGGCTTAATGCGAGGGTGATATGTCGAGTCGGACCCTGCCCTCTTTCTCCGATACACGTGGAAACGAGTATTCTAAATGACTTCTTACATGACCTTTCTTTTGAAATCACTAATTTACATATGTATTTCGGTCTCTCGACCAATCAGATGATTTTGCAGAAATTGATTGAGTACCCAATTTTTAGCAGTCGCAACTGAAATGCCGAGTGAGGTGGACGTGCAGGTATCTATCAATTTCAATTATTATAATTACGAGATGCATTAAGTAATGTGTTTTCCCAAAATTCAATTTTGATTTGATTGTGAAGGTTTTTCTCCTCTATATTAAACTCTTGCTAACATTTTTTCTTGAATTTAAGCTACGAATTTAGTGCAAAACATTTTGATACATAAGAATCGTGTGGGAATGTATTTAGTGAAAAAATAATGCGGGGATATTGTATTCTGAGAGAAATGTCCAACAATGTCATCCACCAGTCGTCATGTACATAATTCCTCCAATTTGAAATAAACAGAGGAAAGAAAGGAGGGCTACAAAATGTAGAGCAACCAAAGGCGGATCCAGTTCTCACTGGTAAGCGTCGGTATGCTCCCCCCCCCCCTTATTTTTTTTTTTTTTTTGGTGGTGGTGGATTTCGTAAAACTTGTATACACTTTTTATCCACACGTTACGACAAAGCACATAGTGTCAGGGCCGATTTTGAATCTATCCCCACGAAATACGATGTTCTAGTTGGTACCTTTTTTCGGTCAATGAAAGCCATTTGTGAACTGCCCCTACTCCCTCCTTTCT